GATGTGTGCTAGAAGACAATGGACTTCTAAGAGTGTTCATAAAAGGAAAAGTATGCAAATAAAGCAATCACTGGGCATTTTAATTTCTTTACAAAATAGGAGAAAACATGAAAAATATCTCTGAACATTATGTGTTTGTATTTTTCAAAACACTGGGAAATATTAAAAATTAAATGATTTTGTAAATGATTTTCCTTGGAGGTAGTTTTTACAGAGAAAAAGAGAGAATTCATTATAGTTAGAATTCTCAAGGAAAGCATCAATCAGAGATCAAAAACTATTGCCAAATTAGAAACAGTATACTTTTTAAGTTAGGTAGAACATGATTTGTAATGCAATGACATTTAGAATTTTTTTGTGAAGATCTAAAATGCTGTGTCTGCCAAAATCACATCTTAAATATGCCCCTTGGTGACTCACAAAACCTACTAGGCTGCTCCAATATATAAATTATAGCCTTATTTTTAGATGGTATATATAACCTTTGGAATATTTTTTTTCTGATTAGTCTTAAGACAAAAAAGGAAATTATTGTAATGGAAAACTTTAAGTTTACTATGTCAATAACAAACCAAATTGTTATTAATTCTCATTTTGTACTACTTATATCAAAATAAAGATATTTTGTTTTCATTATATGAATGTGCCATTTTAATTCCCAGTTTACCTACTAATCTTGTAAGAATTATAAAGATATTTTAGAGTTTGGTGTGATGCTGCAGGTTAGTGTAATGTACTCCAGAGTCTGCTGTTCAAGCTTACCACCTGCTCCGCAAAAATCCTATACAGGATCGCCATGAGTCAGAAATTACTCCACAGCACTTAACCACAGCAACAGCACACTAATAGTTATTTACATATTGAGTTATATAATCTTTTCTATCCATGAGACCACAAAAATAAAAAAGGAATGAACCTTTTCATTGGGATTAATAAATTTCAAAACTGAAACCAGAAATGTTCTTTTAGATGAAACCGTCTGGGATCATCTTTCAATACTTCCCTTGAAGAAAGTTGATTGGAGGTAGAATGCAGAAATTCTAAGTGTCAATGAATGTTGCTGTTGTTGTTAGGTGTCATCAAGTAGGTTCTAGCTCTTAGCAACCCTATGCATAACAAAATGAAACACTATTTGACTGTACACCATTCTCACAAAAGCTGCAATGTTTGAACACATTGTTGCAGCCATGTGTCAATCCATTTTGCTGAGGGTCTTCCTGTTTCACTTATCCTTAACTTTAACAAGCTTGATGCACTTCTCCAGGAACTGGTCCCACCAGACAGCATGTTCAAAGTACATTCTCACTTTTAAGGAATAATCTGGTTGCATTTCTTCCAAGACATTCTTCAGGCAGTCCATGGTAGATTCAATATTCTTCACCAATACCACAAATCAAAGGCATCAATACTTCTTCAGTCTTCCTTAATCACAATCCAGTTATCATACACATATAAAGCAACTGAAAATGCCATTGCTTGGGTCAGGCCATAGAAGGTATTTTTATTTTTAAGTGCCTTCCAGGCAGTTATGTTTAGGGTTTCCAAGGAGTGACTGGTGGATTTAAACTGCCAGCCTTGTGCTTATCCTAAAGCCCCACACCAGGATTCCTTAAGTGTTCCTTAGTCCCTATTCACTATCCAGCTTTCATATGCATATAAGCCAACTGAAAATTCTATAGCTTGAGTCAGGCTATGAAAATAGCCATCAAGAACTCAAAGGATGTATTGAATTGTGTATGCAATACACACAATCTGCTACAAAAGCCCTCTTTAGCATGTTAAAAGGAGTCTTGTTGTGGTGCTGTAGGATAAACACTAGACCTCTAGGACAATTTGAACCCCAAGGTCATTGGTTCCAACTCACCAGTTGCTCATAGGAAACCCTATACAGGGTCACTATGAGTCAGAAATGACTTGATGGCACTTAACAACAATGAAAACAATAACATGTTAAAAGACAAAAATGTCATTTTGAGAACTAAGGTGCCCCTGACCAAAACCATGTCAATAAATAGAGTAGTTTGAAAAACAAAAAAGAAAAAACCTTACACACCCAAACATATCACTGTTATACCTGTCTAAATTAATTTTTATGTGGAAATCGATGTTTTTCACTGATTTAGGATGAAGAATATGATATATCAGGATGCTACTTCAAATCCAGTTGTATCCTCTGATCATGTTTTATCTTTTTTTGCCTGGGTAAGCTTATTTTAAAATAATTAATTAATATCTCAGTCCTAGTGTGGCACTGTAAGGAGCTCTGGTAGCGTAGTGGTTACAAATCGGGCTGCGAACCTTAAGGTCAGCGGTTCGAAACTACCAGCCACTCCGCGGGAGAAAGATGAGGCTTTCTACTCCCGTAAAGATTTACACCCTCGGAAACCCTGTACAGGGTCGCTATGGGTCGGAACCAACTCGACGGCACTTAACAACAACAGTGTGGCACTGTAGGATCAGCACTGGACTGAGAACCACAATGTTGGCAGTTCAAACCTTTGAGAAATTCTCAAGATGGTCCATCTTCAGGAACAAAGGGCCCAGGAGACTGTTAGGCCAGACACTGGCTGTTGATTCGCAGCCAGGGATATGTAAGCAGGATGAATTGAGGCTGAGGCAGGGAGGTCAGGAAATGGTGGTGGTAAGAAATCTGCTCTAGGACTAGGAACTTTAAATAAGAATACAATCATTAGGCCATGGGGACCATCTGGGCTAGATGGGGAACCACATGCTAAATGGGGGAGGGAAACCTGAAATGAAACTCTTGATGAACTGGCCATGCAGCCAGTCTGCCCGTGTCTACTGGGTTGGGCACCCAATTTTGCAAAATCAAATAAAGAAAACCTCACTTTCACTAAAATGAGTACAGATTGGATTTCTGGATCGTTTGTCAGTATCGACAATGTTTCTCATACACCCATCAGTTGCTCCTTGGAAACTCTATACATAGAGTCAGAATCAACTCCACAGCACATAACAACATCAACACTGAAATATAAGTCTATGTGCTTAAAGAATAATAAGCAGTGAGAACAAAACCATCTAATCACTTTTGAAAAGCGAAAGGTTGAAATTAACCAAGAATACTGTCTATAGTTCAAAGTTGGTAAGGTTAAAACTTTATCAAAAAAATATGTTTCTTTTGTAGCACCAGATGTAATTTGCAACACAATTCCAATATTCTTTTCTTTGAAATAGAATGAGCACCATAATCTGTAACATCACTGGTGCGTGGTTCTAATTTTTCTGCCACACCATTCCATTTTATCAAAGTTCTAACGCCTTTGTGGAAGCATGCTGCCTGCCCATGAAAAGCAAACTGCAAACACAATTCTCCCTGACAGCACATAGCTGTGAAAAAGAAAGAAATTTTTTTGCATATACTCCCTGTATAATGAGTTTCAAATCAGTTTGTACTTTTGAAAAGAAACTAAAGTTAAAAGTATCTCTGCTTACATGGCTATATTTTAAATTTACATATGAAGTTTCACAGCAGAGTGCTTTAAGGGTGCAGTTCTCTATCTTATGTTTAAAAGTCTGTTCTAAAATACTTCTTTTCTTTACATATTTATAGAAATAGCTATATTTTACACAACCCTCATCACAGTGTCCATATGAAGATCTCAAATAAGATTTTGATAAATAAAACACATGTGCACATATTAACAAAAAAGGCACATGTTAACAAAGCTTGATTATTCTAAGGGCTCATAATGGAGAATCATCTTTAATATCACTGGGATTCACACAGGGTTTGGGAGTTGCCTCATAGAGGTTTGAGATTGCATTATAATTCCATGTAAACATATCAGAGGAGATTTCTCCAAATAGCATTTTACAGAGGGTATTTAAGGGTAGAATATGCAAAAATCAAATCAATTATAGTCTTGCAAAGCAAAACCTACAGTGTTTTTTATTTGGTTTCCTTAAGTATAAACTGCTAAACATAATTTCTCTCTGATCCAGTCTTTTTTGGTTTTTGGAGGTGGGTTTGGGGGAGGGCTGATACAAATATTCAGTGAAGGTTCCATGAATATTATGCAATCAATGCTGGCAGATATTTTTGACCTAACATCGCGTCATTTCTTTCAGTGCAATTACTTATGTATCTTACCATTGCCAAGCCTCCAGCTTGTCTCAGTGAGGTTGTAAGGCCATCTGCAATGACTCCATTGAGCTGGTTGCTGAAATCTAGATTCCTGGGCCCACCCAAACTTGCTGGCTTGAAAAACTTGACGCCAGGACTAAAATCTGCGTTTTTACAAATATCAAAAAAATACCCCAGTAAAAGCTGATGACTATCCTAGTGGTTACGAATCGGGCTGCAAATCGCAAGGTCAACAGTTCGAAACTACCAGCTGTTCCACAGGAGAAAGATGAGGCTTTCTGCTCCCGTAAAGATTTACAGCCTTGGAAACCCTGTACAGGGTCGCTATGAATCGGAATTGACTCCACGGCACATAATAACAACAACATTCTATCTAGTGCTAAGCTACTCTGTCTCTAGACAAAGCTCCTCTAAACTTCTTTCTATATATCTCACTCTGTTATACACTGACATACATACACACTCACCATACATGGATAAGTTAAATATGCTCTTACATTTCTTACTGTTACTGTATGAGATCATAAAAACATAAATTATATTGTGCATAAGCATTGAAACATTTGCTAAGATTTAGAGATCTGCTGCACCTAGAGACACACTTGCAGACAGCAATTGGTAATTAAAAAAACACTGTAAAAAAACAACATAGTAGATTATTATACCTAAGTAGTCCTTTGAATTTAATTTTATCTCAAACAGCACTCACTGATTTGTTTCTAATAAAAAAGGAATTAACAGATTATTTGAAAATCTGATAATGATGGTACACTTGAAAATGTTATATTTCCCTCATGGAAAAAAGAAACCTAATATTTATTCAGCAAAGCACTACAGTCTCATATTTGCATGGGGAAAATTATGGCATTAGGAAGAAGCTAAGGAAACTCACCACTTCTTCATGTCTGCATTTTCTCACATTAATTCCATTTATCTGCAATAAAAATATATATATATATAATTTCACATAGTCTATTGTAAATAGAATTTACATTTGGTTGCAAATAAAGCATAATGATAAATGCATACCTGTAGAATTGCATCCCCAATAAAGAGTAAACCTGACAGCTCCGCTATGAAGGAAAAACATTAATTGATTATGCATTGTTTTGTTTTTTAATACGGATACATTGTCTTATTAAATAAAGGCAAAACAGGCAGAAATAAACAAAAAATTGAATACATTTATATGGTGGTTAGTATTCTTAAAGTTTCACCAAGAAGGGAAATTTAAAAACCATCATGTGAGTAAATCCACTGCAAATTTTGCACTTATGCACAGATATTCCTATTTACTTCTACCATTTCAGTGCTTGAAGTCGTTAAAAAAAATTGGTCACTCTTCCCAGGAAGGATTAAATGACCTCATGCTTTTATCATTCAGAGAAAGCTTCTGTAGAAGTTTGACACCTAGACATTCAATCCATCAGTTGTGGATTCAGCTCCAAGTTTAATTTTAAACATCAGATAGCTTTGCTCATTTCAATCAATGAAAACATTGCTTATGTCCTCCTTGCTTTTCCTAAATTGAATTTCATATGAAGGCCTGAGTGAAACTGCAGATGAGAACTAAAAAGAAAAATTTGTAATTTTTTCATTATTGGAAGTTACTTGTGTCATCAGTTTGTTTGTTTGTTTGATGGAACAATTAAATAGTTACCCTGCTCCTAATCCATACAAGGCCATATGTTTTCTCTTTTGTTTTATCCTTAATTTCCTCTCAGAGACAAGGTCTCCTTGTGTGAGACTGGTACAGAGTATAAATTTTAAAGTCAAATTTAGACACTTACATGAGTCCTGGCCATGTGGGACTCAAGCAAACCAACTATACATTAGTTTTATGCTTCCTAAAAATTACCTAATTTTTAAGGAAGTTTGATTTATGAACTAGTACTACGTAATTCTCTGAATACTTTACCTCTTTGCTCCTTGGAGATTTTTGAAATGACAACAGGGATATTATGTTCTGCTCCTCCCTGGGAAGATAAAAAAGGTACACACTGTACTCCTTAAATAAGTAGATAGAGATTTTAGCCAAAAACTTTACAGATTGTGAGTAGCATACTAACAGAACACTTACCAGACTTTAAATATATCCGTGGAAGTTCTCCACTAAGAAGACAGTGCTTCCTTAAAGCTTATCTCCGTAGCTACAATTTCACTGTGACATACAAAATAACTAACAAGTGCCTTTAAATTTTTTCATTTAAAAAATATTGATAATACCTTTAGTATAGGCATTATAGTCTCTTCAATGTGAGGCAATGCTTTCCATTCTAGAAATTTTCATTTTAATTTCCAAATTATGATTATGTGTTTCTTTTATCTGGCTACTTTATTTTATGTTGGTGAGCTTTTAGCCCATTCAAAAATGCACAGAGTTACTTTAGCGTGCAAAATGACTGGGAATTCTTGACTTGCACACAAGAATGAGCATAATATCACGGGACAGGGCTCACCTGCACCTTTTTAATTTGTATTCGCTTCCTCTTTTTGTGTTAATATATCTTAAACCATTAGCAGAATAGAATAAACTGGCTAGAGTATAATAGAAATGCTTGGATCTCACTTATTAGATATTTTTAAAATAAAGACAATTAAATAAATAGATTGAGGAAAATAAAATAAATTCTTGAAAGAACTGTGTAAACTCATTTTCTATACCAGAGATTAGAAAAATTCAGTATGATAAAGAATAAAATGTTAAGTAGAAAAGAAACAGTGGTTTAATACAGGAAGGCTGAAAAGAGTCTTTTGAATTTATTAAGGTTTCTCTGTTTACAAAATAAGTAAATTTCCTATGATCCTGTATCCCTCAGTGAAAAAAGAAATTATTTTAGAAAGGACAACTTGCCCATTAATACCAATATTTGACACTGAGTGGCCAATAAATATAAACGCAAGTTAGGAAATACTGAGAAAAGTACTGATATTCTACTTTTTCTAGACAAAGCTTTTCTACTTCTGTCAAGAGAAAAGGTAGTAAATTAAATGTCAAAATTTTCTACTGAGATTAAAATCCAATTCACTGCTTATTTCCCCTTTTCTCGTTATCTCCCAACAATCCAATTGAGACGAAGGTAAAGGAGTATAGAAATCTGAATTAAACATAAAACACTAATTGACTGAAACAATTGCAAAGATATATAGGACATGCCTAGGGTGCATACCTGAGCAGCCACACCTTGGGACATGCCATTAACAAAGACCATCCATAAAAATTTCTGCATTTTTTACTTCCTTAGGACATATTTTACAGGTCAGACGGGTTAACCTAGTGCTCTAGGCATAACTTTAAAGCGTAAAACTTCTACTGGGGCAAAAGAAAATGCCAGTGTCTGTAAGACGTCTGAATTAGGGTCCAAAAGAATCATGCACACTCTGTTTCCCAGAATAAATTCTGTCTGCTCCTACCAGAGGCCATTGAGACTCCATCTTGAAGAAATGTTGCGTCTGTGAGAGTGCGCATGCGAACGTGCACACGCATACACAATTAGCATGGCCCCTCCTATATGGTCCGTTTATTGGAAATGCCCGCCTATCTCTGTGAATAAACATGATGTCTTTTCCCTATCCAAAACTTTTTAAACCCCAGCAACTCCTTTGGGGAGACAGAAGGTTAGCATTGCATTAAGCTCTCCTCTTTCCATTTTCAAGCTTCTTTCCTATAACAAACTTTTTGCTCCCGTGGTAACTGTCTCACCTGACTATTAATCAGTAGAAGGCACAACCTCTTTCTTGAAGCCTGGAGATGCGGTTGGCACTACCTGTAACACACTATCCAAGTATCCATCCCTCACAAGCTCTGTGAAGAAAATCTCTGGCAAGGGCTAAAATGGATTCTAGTGCTGGTCATCTTTTTCAGCCTTATGTTCTTAGACAAATGCTGATTCTGGCTAAAACGGTCTTTCACTGATAAAAGGTGATCATAATCTGTGACTGATAGTGGAGAAAACGAGTAAGAGACAAAGGAGTGTATTGTTGTTGTTAAGTGCCTTCATGTCAGTTCCAACCCATAGCGATGCTGTATATGGTTTCCAAGGAGCCACTGGTGAGCTTGAACTGTTGAGCTTGAACCACTGACCTTGCAGTTCAAACCGATTTTGCAGTGCAGCGCATTACCCTGTAGCGCCACACCAGGACTCGCATACAACATACACGAAATAAAGGAAAGCCAAGAAGCTCTGGTAGCGTAGTGTTACGAATCGGACTGCGAACCTTAAGGTCAGCAGTTCGAAACTACCAACTGTTCCGCGGGAGAAAGATGAGGCTTTCTGCTCCAGTAAAGATTTACAGCCTCGGAAACCCTGTACAGGGTCGCTATAAGTCGGAAGTGACTCCACGGCACATAACAACAACAACAACACGGTGCTTGCAGATTAATGCACTGGACTGCAAGGTCGATTTGAACTGCAAGATCGGTAATTCAAACTAGCCAGCCACTCCTTAGAAACCCTATACAGTGTCGCTGTAAATCGGAACTGACATGAAGGCACTTAACAACAACAACATCAATTACCATAATCTATCAAGATTTATGAGTAAAATCAAAGTGGTGAGTAAGATTAGGGCTAGTCCATTCATCACCCTTAATATTTGAAACCTAAACACACTGCTATCAAGTGGATCCCAACTTATAGAGACCATGAATAAGGATTCAGTCTGCAAATCTTTACAGGAGCAGAAAGCTTCATCTTTTTCCCACAGAGGAACAGGTAAGTTTGCATTGATGACCTTGCAGTTAGTAGTGCAGTGCTTATCTTGTAGTTGTTGTTAAGTACTGTCCAGTTGTTTCCAACTCATAGTGACTCTGTGAGGGGTTTCTGAGGGGCAGGTGGTGGATTTGAACTACAGGCCTTGTGGTTCACAGTGCAGTGCTTATCCTTAAACTCCACACTAAGAGTCCAGTGATTATCATATGGTGCCATAAATTCTCACTCTCCTATATTCTGTTCTATTCTTTTACCATTATACATCTTGGCTCCTACCATAGTATTTATTAATTTATTACATCTATTTTTATTATCTTTCTCCTTCCCGCACACTAAACTATAATTAGAGCATTTACCATTTTTAAGAAGTTTTGTTTTGAGCATTAATGTAACCCCAGTGTGTGTTTAATAAACTTAAATATGAATGAATGAATGCAGTTTAAGAGTTTTCCAGCCCCCCCAAAAAAAGTTTCATTCTTTAAATTACAGTGCAGAATGATTCCATGAAAGTGGTAAGACTATGTTTCTCCATGAAATAGAACTCACTTGAAGGCAATGTGCTTATTATTTTTCTTTTTATGATGAAATCAAATGTTGATGTTCACGTAGTGTCTAAAAATATTTGCAAGCTAGAAAGAATTTTAATAATATATCTCCATTTCTTAGAAGAAAAAGTTGATTAAAAGGAACCACTACCTGGGGAAGTATTTGATAATATACCTTTGGGACAGGGAATTCTACTCTCAGCTAGTCTGTCTGTGCAACTGTCAGTACTGTCCTTTAGCAGTCGCCCTTTTCAGTTCCACTACAGAATCCAAAGATTCTCTTAGTGCCCAGATATTTAATGAAATCATTATGGTGGGTCAAAAGGAAACCTATCCCAGGGGTTGATTTACGGGCAGAAGAAGCTTCTGGCTAACTATTTTCAGACAGGTGGATTAACAATTTAGTCCACTAAGTAACCTATTCTTCAGTCAGTATATCAGACTTTTCTTTAAATGGTAATTGTTGAATGACCATATGCAACTAACCTCTGCTTCTCCATCATTTTTCTTTTTTATATAACATAGCTCCTGAATTTTAAGTGGTTTGAGTTCAAACATATTTTGTAAGTCAGACATTTGGAATCCTAAAGGTTAAACTAATTTTAGAAAGTAACTTCATAAATTAGATAACAGAATTTAAGATAAAATTCAGAAAATAAAATTAGAACTTCTCTTAGTTTCATTTTTTTGGATGAAATCTGTGAAAACAGCCCATTTATACTAAAGTTAAATAGATTTAGCTCAGTGACAGAATTTAGTGACAGAGTTTAAAGCTTTCCAGGTAAAAATCAAATAATGTGACTTGCTTTACTTAAAACAGCAAGTCAGTTTTCCATTAAAAATAAAGACCAAAATCTTTAATCAAAGTCTCATGCAATATGTTCTCAGCCTCCCTCAGCTGCTTCATCCTGTAAAGAAACATTCCCATCATCCACTGTGTTCCTCGAATGGCATTTTGTTGTTGTTGTTGTTGTTGTTGTTCCTAGAAAATGCCATATCTCTTCAGTATTTTAAGTACCTCAGGACAATTTGCAATTCGTAAGTGAAACTGAATTGTGGGCACATTTCAGAAAAGAGTTTTCCATTTAATATAGCTAACCAAGGACTGGGGAAGAGCTGCCTTCTAAAAGTAGAGTTGACCTCAGTGAGGTTGATGGAGTTAACCTTTAGGGACCTCCATTTGCTGATGGGGTAAAACTCAAAGTGAAGAGGAACCAGTTGCAAATATACATTTAAAATTGCAACATGGAATGTATGAGACATGAATCTAGGAAAATTGGAAGTTCTCAAAAATGGAATGGGATGCATAATAATAATGACTGGTATCCTAGGCATTAATGAGCTGAATGGACTGGTATTGACCATTTTTAAAATGGACTGGTATTGACCATAGTAATGGTTTACTATGCCAGGAACACCTAATTGAAGAGGAAGAGATCACATTCCTTTTCATAAAGAACATTTCAAGATCTATATTGAAGTACAATATTGTCTGTGATAGGATACTATCTATATACCTATAAGGAAAACCAGTTAATACTAATATTATTAAAATTTACCCTAAAGCCAGTTGTTGCTAAGTGCCGTTGAGTTGATTCCGACCCTTAGCAACCCTGTACAGGGTTTCCAAGGCTGTAAATCTATACGGGAGCAGAAAGCCTCATCTTTCACCCACGGAACAGCTGGTATTTTCAAACTGCTGATCTTGCAGTTCGCAGC